CAAACCAGAAGTCGTGTCACTGCAAGTTTCAATTAATAAGTGAGATTTTGAACACTCTAACTCCCAAAGAAGGCCATTTTCAGAGTTAGTCCTTAGAGTTGCTTCAATAAGCGCCTCATTAGCAACTTTAACATAGCCAGTCTCATGAAGATGCTCTGAACTGTACGTTCCATTAAGCTTGCTAAGGTCAAAATCCACGGACAGAAGAAGCCCAAGATCTTGAATCCTGATTCTATAATCATTTCTTATGGAATCAACCAGACTTTTCTTTGAAAGGCTAAAAGAAGATGCAGCTACCAGACAGGCAACCCATGGATCACTTGCTTGACGTAAATGATCTGTATTCTCATGGTGGGGCTCATAGCTTAGACCAACATCAACCAAATTCAGAATAAACGAGGAGCCGCTAGATGAGCTGGAGTTCATCTCTTGAGATTTTTTTTCATCTTCAAACGTGAAAAAAGAAGTAACCACTTCTATCCAATCCAGGCGTCCTCCTACGGCCGAGATCGTACAGCCCCTGGCAGATACTGCTAAATAATCATAACAAATTCCTGGTTCCTGTAAGTGCAGAAAATCTAAGCCAGCGAACCTTGACGACAATGCATTTGAACCTCCTCCATTACCACGCTTGATTGCAGAGTTGTTACATGAGAGTAATAGCAGTTCCTGGTCAGCTAGACCTGTAACAGAACCCCATAAGGTGCCTTCACCATGGGCTAACCAAAAGAAATCAGCACCAGAGATACTGCCAAGATTTGAGACAGACATAAGATTTAACTTCTGAACCCTCAGGTTGAACTGAATCCATGATCCAGGAAGCTCAGTCTGAAGCTGATTTTTTATGCCCATTTGAGGTTCTGGCCTAACCAAAATGTCAATAGAATCACATTCAACAACGAGAGACGTTTGACTCACAACAGATTCTCCTGTTTGCTCAGCTGTATTGGCTGCCATACGTGATAGCCAAATTTTTGCCTCTTCTACGAGATTACATAATTTGCTGTATTGCCAACTATCTAAACGGATAGCAAGTGGAAGCAAATGAAGATAAAGGCAGAATGAAGAAGCCAAAATTATTTCTTTCCTGGTTCGAGAGTAGATGTCTTCTTGATCTTTGGGCGTAGCAACAGCAGCGAACTCAAGGCCACTCCCCCCAGATTTATCTGTCTGAATAGATTCTTCCTGCGTAGCCAACATCTTAGCTCTCTCCACTAACCAAGGGCTAACAGTAGGTCTATCTTGCCAAAACATACCAATGGTTGAAAGTTGGTGCCTCGTTTTATTGTTGGTATGTAAAATATTATATGCAGAGAATTCAACCTGCCTATGATATGAATTTGTTTCAGAATCTTTAAGGTCAGAAGTAACCAAATAGATGCTAGCATCACCAACACTGAAGCATATAGAGCGAGTAGCCGATGTAAAGTACATTTCTCCTGGACTTCCTTCCTTACGCCTATCCTTGTCAGATGGCGGAGAGGAAGATAAGTCGACGACAATAAACTGCTCACCAAGCGAGTTACATAACCTTTCTGAAATGCTCTCAAAAGGAAACCACAGAATCACTCGAGCATTCCAGATTGACACACTACCTCGCAAACTTTCTGATTTAGAAGAGGATGCCACCTGATTCCTTTCATGACAGAATATGGGGATAGATTCAGATACATCGTTGAAAAGATCTACCAACATTTCTACTGAATGAAGGTTCAGCCAGAATGTGGTAGGTGGTAAACTCAACGAGAATGAGTTTGATCCTCTATGGCTGGCTTTGGATGATTGGAAATTGACAATAAACTGAAATCCACTGCCCCCTGCAGCTATTACCAACAATGTCTTGACTGCGAAACCCTTGTTACGAAAGAGAAGTCCATCAGAAACGATCTCTCTTAATCTTTCAGAGTCAGTATGCATATCAGACGAGGCAAAGGGAGGAAGACTAGTCTGAACTTTCGCTTGTAAATCCTTAATCAAACAAGTCTGAGATTCAGCATTAGCAGTGTCAACAACATGTCCAGCTTGAAAATAATCGGCGATCTCCATGCTGTTCACTTCTCCTTCTAACCTCAGATCATGAGGGCGTACCTGTTGACCTTATTGAATGTTTTAAGAAACTCAAGCACGGATACTAGGGAGGGGAGGAAACACAATTCATCAAGGTAATTACCTGAAAAGAGACCGAAATATCTCTGAGTTCTGCACCCAAGTAGTGAATCCGCGTGGAAACATCCTTCCAATTGTCTTCATCTTGGAAAAATAATACCACCGAAACTCCAGCAAAGGATATTTTACAACTTGTTTCAACATGTTGTTGTTCTGCATATTGATGAGAATAGTGCACATAGTTTGTTACTATAACGACTTAAACTGCTTGGCACTACTAGCTAATGGATTGATTTAAGTACAAAGCTTGACACTTGACAGCGTATAGGGTAGCAGTAAAAGAATAGAGAGAACAAGAAATAACCTAAGATTACATAACAGGATTAACACCGGTATAAGAAAGCTTACATATATTTGGTGATAACACATACCAATATGCTCAATGCACAAATTTAAACACAATTCAAGAAAGTATTCTTACCAGAAGGAAGAAGCAAAGACCCAGAAGCAAGGCTAGATGCAGCATTGATAGCTGTGAAGACAGAAGATGTCCAATTCCACATTCCTTGGCTTCCAGAAGCTGATTGGTAACTCCTCATTGCATCAAAACATTCAAAAAACTGGTCCACACTGTAGGAAACAAGAAGAGATAACACACACAAGAGAATTCAGTTAAAAACTAAAGGTAAATTCATATCCAGATTGTGATGAAAGATGAAAAACAAGTCAAGTAAAAAATACAATATCTCTGAAAGACTTGAGAAAACGAAATATCATGTTAGAGACATCCTTTATACCTTGCCCCAATATCTACTTCTCCATCCTCTTCTTTCTTGCTGAAAGAAGACGGAAACCAATCCGGTATAAACTGTAAGTTAGGCGTAGTATCAGGCTCCAATTCTTGGCCACCTGACAATGATAGAGTAGCTGGAGGCGTTACCATTATATTAGTAGGTATTGTAGGTGAATCCGTCAATGAATCAGAATGAGAAACTGATGGGCAACAGTCTGATCCGAAACTTGTGAAAGTCTTCCACAATTGTAAGAACCATCTAATTGTAGACGGTTGAAGTCGTACTTCAACAGGATCAATAGAAATATCAGCATCCACCTTGCGAATGTCTAACGAACCATTCTTCCAGGGTATACTAAAATTCAAACTCCCTGAAAAGCCACCTCCTTCGCCGGTCATGATCAAAGTCACATCATTTGATGTTTTTTTACCACAAGTTTTGTCACCATCATCATCATCCATATGTAAAAGCTCTACAACGGCTCCTTGAAACTTCACACAGTTTGCAAGTCGACTAGTACCAAGGAAACTATCAGGAGAAACATCATCAGCCGAAACTCGGTCCTCTGAAATTCCACACTCTATTTCTGTCATTCTAAGTACCAATGTTGGCCGAGGACCAGCTTCATTCAGTTTTTGGCCAAAATCGGGATCAAATGCTATAATCAAATTCTTAATTTTGACATGAAAACTTGTAAGAAACCATTTCACTATCTTGGCAACCGTCTTAACGCCTTCATGGACATCGATAGACGCAGAATTTGCAGCGTTTATCAACATCTCATTCTCATGCTTTCCTATTTCAAGACGTATATTATGTGAATCTTCTTGGGTAGAGGCAGAGGTGCTAGCTTCATTTGAAGATGATGCATTAGTCTCCAAACGTGGTGCAAGAACAAGCTCAAGCTCGTCAACCTCAACTTGACAACCATTAGTCTTCCAAGGCATTTTAACTACCAAAGCTCCAATTGAGCCTTCCTTTATGAGTAGCGGAGCATCAAACTGGATTCAAATACGAAAGATAGTACAGGGGATAGGACTGTCAGAACTAGTTTCTTTTCAACAAATTGATAAGAAAATGAAACTGAGAATGGTCTTTAGTTCATCCAGAACTAGACCACTACCAATGAACTAGAGCTCCCCGATAGAGAATTTGAAACAAACAAAAACAACTAAAACACAGTTTCATCATCCTCAACATAAAACCTCAATATGCTTAAACTTCTAATCCAGAGCCAAACACTAACACACTTGTTCAAAATTCCAGAATTCAATAGCATCATTTGAAAGAAGAGAAGAAGAAGAAGAAGGGAAAAACCTTGTCATTGAAATAGTCAACGTTGATAGCAAGATCGGAGAGCTGAATAGAGCCATCACGAAGCTGAATATCGAGCTGATCAAGGTCGATATCACCAAGTATGAGTTTACCCAATTTCTTCTTCAACAAGAATTTGACAACCCTCTTCACCGCCCATCTAGAAAAAGCTTCCTCTGCTGATTTAGCAATGTTCCACGGAAACACCATCTTCTTCCCCTTGCGGGATTAGAGAATCTCGACCCTAATTTTTGGATTTTTGATGAGATTTTAGGGTTTGTCTAAGGGATGGTGACGTGAAGTTCCTCGTGATTGGATTGCGGAGAGAGAGAGAGAATCAGAAGGAAGCAAAAAGTTGAGTAGACTTTCGTCGTCGTCGTCGTCGTCTTACGGTTTTTGCTTTTCCGTGTGGAGGAATAAGTGCCGTCTCTTTCTATTCTTTCTTCGTTAACCGGATCTATTATTGTGTGGTACAGTACCGGTAACACGAAAACCGGTTCTTAATCCTAATTGGGCTCTAATTAGTTAGTTAATCACATCAGAAATTAAGGGGTAAATGCGACAATTCTCCACGAATTGAGTCTTGAATCACTTATATTATTATATCAAGCCAGGTTTTATCAACATAGCCAATTATTTAAAACTGTTTTTTCTAATGGTTTAAATTCCTCCACTACACAAATGTGTAGGTGGCCATTTTAGTTTTCTGGTTTGGTTTAGTTCGGATATAATTTTTTGGTTTTTGTGTTATTAGTATTGTTTGGTTTGGTGCGACTTCGCTTTCAACTATTTTCTCAAAGTTTGTTTCTCGTTCCCTTATCCAAATCATAAACTATCAAATTAAATCAACGTAGTTACCAAAATCAAAATATTAGCCGTAACGTACCATGTTTGTCTCCATTACAAGACACAAAAACAAATCCCCATTACATAACTTCACTGCTCAGCCAAAGAAACTCGCAAAAAGCTCTGTTTATGTTAGTTTAGTTCTTTTCCCACTCCTTCCGTACAAGTCCCATTTCAACCTTGAAACACTCTACTTTCTTCCTGCACCCATCAATCAACAAATTTAGTTTTATCTAATTTAAGTGAGCATGTTACTAAGATATTACAAGAGGTAAAGAGATCTGAGACATTATTACCTCCTCTTTTCCTTTTACCACTGCTTCTCAACTGTCTAGCTTCTGAAACATTCTCCTTCTGTTTCTTGTTTAAGTCATTATCATTATCTTCATCTTCTTCATTCCCATCTGAATCATTGTTTGCATCTTCATTTACTCTAATGATATACACCTAGAACAAGCAACATATTTCAACATGAATGCTAAAGTACTCTCTACTAGTGTAAGTTTCAAGAAATCAAGATCTCTAAGTAAAACTCCTTAACCTTGAACATTGTTCGGGTGATAAGTTGAAACACGAGAGCATCTCCATCGACTAACTGATGATCGATGGCGAAACCTCTCCAGCCTCCGCTAAGACCGTTCTTCTCAGCAAGGTATTTCACCACAGATTCCTCGTCTTCCTCGTCAACCAAAGTCATCATTTCATCACGTTTTGGCATATGTGCCTTGCAAAAAGGAAGTGGCAAGCCCTGTTTACGAAAACGTATGAAATCATTGGAGTTTACTTACTAGGGATAAGTTTCAGACATCTTTGATTCATTTAGCATTCAAGTTTCTTCACTTACCAACCAAAATCCTCCGGTCACGTGTGATTGGAGCATTGGTTTGGTAAAGCTTGGGAATTCTGGATCTAAGCTTGACTGGAGCTTCTCTGCCCTGTCAAATGCGTACATTCTTGCGTCGTCTGAAGCATATACCCGATTCAGCAGATCTCTTCTTTGAGAGCTCCTGCAAAGCAAAACACATATAACTTATACTAAATAGTGAAAGCTAACATGAAATGGTTTAAGACAAGTAATGTTTTGGTATATAGAGTGTGGACTGGTCAACCTTCTTGGCCTCCTCTCCAGTGGTTCTAGCCCAAACTGCGAGTAAGGATTAAATAACACCGATTATGAGGAATAAGAAACAACTCACGCAAAATAGGATTTTGATTCAAGATTTGCTACTCTCAAAATATATCAACAAGAGCAGATCATCCCAAAAACAAACTCCTTATCTAGCTATCTAGGTTCATATAAGAGTGAGAAAACTTTGTGAGAGCCTTTTAACTTCAAACTAAGAAAACTTGCACCAAAATGATAGAGCATTTATTTTATTCACTTATCAAAGTCAAAAATTTATCTCACCAAAATCCTTTAAGAAACTCAAGTAATAAAAAGAGTAGAAAAGGACCTCTTTGTAACTTGGAGGTGGACCCTTGGCACGGCTTGATCTCCTGACCTCCGAGAAATCCACCGGAATACGCATGGTCCTTGGCTTTGCCTACATTTCCATAAAAAAAAATGGTTAATTCCCGAAATAGAAAATGAAGAAATGAGGAAGAGAAGAGAAAGGAAAAGTTACTGGAGAGGACTTGGAAGAAGAAGAGACACGAAGAGATTGAGCAAGCTTGTTGAGATTAAGCTCCCCCATTCTCTTCTTGTTCTCTTCCACCCTATTCAAACGAATCTGCTCATAGCTTAGCTCCGATTCCACCATTTTCTTAGGGTTCTGAAACAGAGAGATAGAGAAACGAAAGAGACAAAGATCCAAGTCTTGCTTGACTCTTGAATGCGCTTGTGAGTGACCGTTGGGTTTCTTCTTTCACCGCTATGTATGTGTTTATACTTCTCTACTTATTTTTATTTTTTTATGTTATAAACATCTTAATCATTGTGTCTAATCAAACAAATTGAAATTTCAAATTCTCAACAGTGGAACTTCAGAGTAAGCCTCCATCGTGATACGTGAAGTAGGTATGGGCTTCGTAAAAGACGTTTCTTTTTTTTTTTCCCTCCATAATTAACAATTATTTTGAGATCTCTTAATATTTTTAACTATTTTAAGAAAACATTTGATTTGACCGGTAACGCTTTACATTAAAAAAAATTAACGCTTTCACAAACACATTGAAATCAAAGGAATCTACAAAGACAAATCCTTTGGGTTACTAAGGAATAAAGAAACAAACCTGAGACTTTCCTACACCGTTAGATAAACCAGAACAAAGGCTAAATGATCCCATGTTCTACTGTTGATGCTACAACCTTTAGTTAGATGATGAGCTTTTTTCTGGGGGATATTGTCACTTCTGTATTTGAATATCGCTTTGGCAGAATTTCCACAATCCATCTTCTTGCTTCTTCAGCGTATAGCGGATCTTGTAAGTGCTACATGAAATATACAAAACGTAGCATCAGTGAAGAAGATACGAGCTCAGTCCAAAGGTAAACCAAAAGCAAAATGTTTACCTGTAATATTTTGCGTTTTTGGGCTGAGATTCATCAACTAATTCTGCTGCTTCCTCTAGAAGGGCTTCGATTTCTGCAGTCTCACCAGCGATACCATCTTGGAAAATGTGTGCTTGCAGAATCTCTAGATGAAGCAAAACGAATCTCCAATAACAGGATTTAGCTTTTGCTGTTTGTGCCAACGTTTGCCACTGCAAATTTCACGTTACCACCAAAAAAAACAAATGAGCAAACCTTAAAAACGTTTGTGATTTGCATATATGCATATGCATACAACAATGTAGCATCTGATCTTGTGTTAGGATATGCAAAACAAAATTGACCTAGTGGCCAAGCGAGTGCTTTCTCACCTATATTCAGCACTCTTTAAGCTTCATCCCAGATAAAACCAGGGTTCATAAGATAACCTAATGTTTCTGAAATGGGCTACCCAACCCCTCTCCCTCTTGTAGGAAAAATAACCATATATCATTTTGGCAAAAGAATGCATTTTCTAAATCTTAATGAAGACCTAGTCGAACTATTGATTCTACCTAAACATTGATGTTCAGCTGTTGTAAACTAACTCAACTAAGCAAAGAAATAGAGTAGATGTACAGAAACAGTAACCTGGACAAGCATGGATTCATCAAGGACTTCGGAAAGGCTATAAACTTGATGTGTTGGTCCAAGAGCTTCAGCCTTAACATTTTCCCACTGTCTCACAAGCTCTTCTGCGTCTTCTGTATCCATTGGTCTTTTATGCAGTTCTGACGCAGAATGAGACAATGATGTAGCTGATTGACCAGAGCTTTTCAGATACAAGGCATCCGGATGTTCGCCATGATGCATCTTTAACATGTCCATGAGCACTTTGATGTTGCCCATGATACCATTTCTATTCACAGAAGCAATGTTTTTTCTGAAATTCCCAGACTCTGTTTTCCACAGAAAAGAATCTGATTCCGAATGCGGCCTAGCAGAAACCAATATAGGCAGACTCTGTAGTCTACCAGATCTAATGCCTATTAACTTTAGAGAGAAGAACACGGTGCAACCCAGTAAAGCAACAACAGATACCCTTCCGATCAAACTGCTTTGAGAGAGCCACTCATCCCATATTCTATTTTTGTGTACACCAAGGTTCCTCTTCAGCTGAACAGATGGCATACTGGCACCGCTTTCATCATTATTCTTGGCTGATACCACTGGGCTCTGCAAATCTGTTGGTGTCAACTGCTCGACAGCTGTATAAAGATGTTGTGACGAGTTCACGAACTGCGTTGTGGAAAGCGGTCTTTGGTTCGTCTTGTGATTCATGATCGAAGGTGACCCCATTTTCTTGTTTTCTGGATATTTCTTTTCACCCCGAAAAAAATTGGCCTGCAGAAAGTTGTATATATGAATATCTGTCTGCTTAAAAATAGAACTGCTATACAGAATCTTCCAGTAGTGATCTGATTCTTACCAATGATGGAGAACAACCCCTTGTGTCTGGAAAGTTAGCAAGCACGGACTCTGTTAGCCACGCTTCCTGGTCAATTTTATTAGGTAGGACGTATGAAGGTCGCTATCAATCTTTTTTGAAAAAAAATCAGAGCTAGCGAAGCGATGTACATACTTGCAAAATTTCCAAATTAAATTTAGTGCATGAACCCAAGGGCTTACTCAAACAAATATTAAGATTTAAGCGTATGTACAACCAACCAAAAAAAGGTTAACGGCAGGCATACACAATGCTGTTAAAGCATATTCTATGAATTTAACTACCATCCACTCAATGTATATATTTCCATTGTTTCACTTACTGCCTGAAACATAGCTCAACCTCACTCATATTCCACTAAAGTTGATCATGCCATTTACATTAGGCATAGCCCTCGCTGTAGTCCTAGCAACAAATGAACACAAATTCTTGGTAAAAATCATAAGGTGTACCAGTGATGGAGCAGCAGAAGTACTTCTCGACTCTTTCCCCAGGATCGAATTACGAACGGCAGAGTCTGAATTTGATTCCAGCTGCTTAAGTTTTTCCAGGGCCTCTGCCTCGGAACCCTGTGCTATCCAACATGTAGGTCCAGTAGCACTTAACTAAATGAACAACGCATGGATCTTTCGAAGCAAGTGAACTTGAAGTAAATAAGATGCAAAAGCATAGTTGATAGGGAAAAAGAATAAAGAAAGCAAGAGGAAAAATACCTGTTTTAGAAGAAATGAGCAAAAGGCTTCCTCAAATTTCAGATCAACACCTTCTGATGCTATGAGACATTCGCATATTTTTTTTGCTTTATTAATCTACACAAGCATGCTGAATGTTAAGCTTTATAAGCAGATAGAGTAGAGATGAAATGGAGCAATCAGTTTAAATTTAACAAAAGGAAAGAAAATGAGATATACCGTTTCATTTTGCTTGCCTGAAAATCCAACAGCGATGTGAGCAAGTAACACCATGTAGAAACAATTAAAATCTATTACCACTCTTTGATTGTGGGATTCGAGTGATTTTTTATTTTTCCGTGTAATGGCTAAGTCATCCCATGGAAGAAGATCGACAATCTCTGTGGCCAATAACCTACTAATCGCCTGGCTCAAAAAGCATGGCCAGTCTTGAATTTGACATGAAGCTTCAACACTAAGGCCCTGTCTGAGCAGTTCGCGTAACGCTGCAATTGCACCTCGCCTCCTCTCTGCATTTTCTGGCGTGCGAGGCAGGCCCAGTAGATCCAATGTGCAAGGTGGTGCTAGCTCCTCTAGTGACTCCTCAATCTACAAATTTCAATTTCAATCCCTTTAAACCCAATATGCTGGTAAATATGCCTTTGGAAATATGTACTAATATGTGAAGCTCCTTAACATGATGTGATTTACAGTAAGACATGATCAATTGATCATGCACTTTTAATGATTCAAGCCGGTAAGCGAACTAAAAGTAAACACAAAGAAGCTTTATATATACTAACGCAAGACAGTGGATCCTATTACCTGAGTTAACAATGCAAGTTTCCCAAGAGTAACTTTACTCTTCAGAAAACATTGAGCACGAGCAAGAGCTTCAAATCCTTGAGAGACCTTGTTAGCCTCAAAAGCAGCCTTTGCAATTGCACACTTAGTGGAAAAAAAATACATATTAGAGATAGAAGAAGCAGAGGACTAGTGAAAGTTGGTAAGTAATTCCCATTCCTAGTTCATTTGATTTTACCTCAGCAAGTGCCATAGATAAAAATATATCATGAATATATGGCTTCGAATCAAGGTTCCTGAGAGCAGCCCGGCCAATATCCAGCACGAGTTTTTCTTGTCCAACCTGAAGCATAGTAGCTCACATCATTGCTTTATCTTATCCAAAAAAAGGTAATGTCACAAAATTAAGATAAAAATCAAATTTTCATAGAAGAAAATCAAAATTGCAATTAGAAGAGGTAGGGTGTAGATAGAAATGATAAATTAATGCAGAAAGATCAGTACAAAACATTTCTGGGACAAAACGCAATAAAAGCTCAGTAGTAGTACCTCTTGAAGAAGGCAAAGAGCACCAGGCAACCAAGCCCACGGAATTCTGAGAGGAGATTTAGGAGCAATCTTTTCTTTCAGGTTACCAGCATATTCTGGTTCAAAAAGAAGTTTATCCCTAACATCCATGAGAAGATCCTGCATTTTAGAATCATTAAGAAAAACGCATCAAGAAACTGAAGCCACATTCCCTGTCCAACTCTAGTGAGAAAACGGTCAGATTCTATGGAGCATTTGAAAACAGAAACAAAGTCTGTATAGGTCTTAACCTGGCGAGCTACAGCAGCTTCCATTGTATAGCCTTCTTCAGCATCAGCTTTTTTCAAATTTATAACCGACTTCACTACCTCGTCTTTCTCAGCTTGATCAGAAACTCCGATAAGCTGCAAATGCAATACTATTAACAGTATCCTGGAATAATGTCTTACATACAAAATTGCTAGATTATCTCGCCAAATCAAAACATCCAACTCTTTCTACACGCTAGAGAGACTAAATTCCCACAACTTTGGAGGAAAACATTTCAATTTCAACCAAATTTAGAAGGATAAAAAAACAAGTTCCACTTGCACTTCAGCGAGGAGCAAAGTACCAAATCGCAGAGATCGCATATACAAAGATTCCGAGAACTAAGCCAGTCGGAGCAAAATACCTGGTAACACGTAACCGGGATTTCGATTGCCGAGGTAGATGCAGCGAGGGAAGAAGTACGAGACGGCGCATTGTCCACAACATGGATACCACCACCAGCAGCATTCAACGTCCTCCGTCCTTCCCGCTGAAACCGCCGCAAAGATAAACCAGAACCGAAGAATTCACCGGATTCAGAACGAACGACGAAGAGACCTGAGATCTGAAGCTCCGTGCGATCAACGACGAAGCTGGTGCCGCGATTAGAGATTCCGCAAAGCAGACAAGAAGAAGGGAGAACTGGAAATGTGTAAGCCAGCGGCATTGCGCAGCAGCTCCAGAAGACGAACGAACCCTAGAAGAAGAAGTAGAGTGAAGCTAGAATCATGGTATTTACCGGATTTCTTCAGAGGAGAGAAAATCGGAAATTTGGTCGGTAAGGCTTTTGACAGTGATTTTGCCTTTCTCTTAATGTTTCGTCTTGTGACGATAATAAGGTAACCCGCTGGCTAAAGGAGAGGCTCTGCTAATCTAGGACGAGACGAGACGTGGTCACGTCACGCGTGGATAATAAAGAAACTTCTGGACAATCATTGGGTTGCTCTGGGCTTTCATACTTTTTTGAGGCCTACTTTTCGGCCCATATGTGCCAAGAAGAATTATCATTTTTACTTTATAAACTCATTATAAACTCATTATAACTATGAGAAACTAAAATTCAGATAACTATGGTTTGATAAATTTATATGTAAGAATATTCAAATAATACTAAAAAAAAGGTTGAAAATTACCTGTCTAGTAGTATAACTATGTAAATTGATCAGATACCAAAATCTTTTTAAAAAATTCACACAAAAAAGTATTTAAGATATTTTGTGGTCATTATATTTTTGGAGGATAGCAAATTGCAACACTCAAAACACATTTGGCTATACGAGAACCACGTTTGCTTTCTTGCAAATCAGCACCTCTTTTTTGTTCTTAAGTACTAACTAAATATTCAGAAAAATATAATTCCAATTTAGTAAATTAGAGAATATTTTTTCACAATAATTTTGTGTGTTGTACAAGAAATGGGGGATTCATTTTTTATATTTTACTTTTTTCCTTCTACAAGCAAAAACAAAACACACAATGACACAAGGATAAAACCTCTTGCCGTTGGGTTTATTTTAGGACCTTTGTTTTACTTCTTTGCAATATCCTTATTTCGTCTCCGTCAGTAGCAGTCTTCGCCGGGAAATATTTTTCCGGTAGCGATGCTCCGGACCGTATCCTGTTTAGCTTCGCGCAGCTCAGCCTCTCTATTCTTTCGCTTCTTTCGTCAGTTCCCTCGCTCTTACATGTCTCTCACATCGTCGACGGCCGCTCTCCGTGTCCCCAGTCGCAATCTTCGCCGGATTTCCTCTCCTTCAGTTGCCGGAAGACGTCTCTTTCTCCGCCGAGGTTTGAGGATTCCCTCCGCCGCAGTTCGTAGTGTTAATGGGCAGTTCTCTCGCCTCTCTGTTCGCGCCGTCGCCACACAACCCGCACCACTTTATCCCGGTGAGGATTTTGCACATATGCTTCTTCTTCGTTTTCTGTTTGAAGTTTGATTGTTAATTGATTTGTTCTCTTAGTTTAGATTTCAGGTTGTTTCTTTTTATTACCAATTTCACACATAATCTTGTCCTTAGAGAACAGTTGGAAGTGTCTTCTATGATTTATGCCACTTGTGAAATTGAGGTTCTTACTTTAGGATAGATTGTGAATTGTAGATAGGTGTGGAGCCTTTTTCTTCTCTTGCTTTGTGTCTGCTTTTTAAGCAAATGGAGCCATGTGTAACCTCTGCTGATGCGTGATTACCTTTTTTGTTATTTGGATTCAGATGTAGGTCAAGATGAGGCTGAGAAGCTTGGATTTGAAAAAGTGTCGGAAGAATTCATCTCAGAGTGTAAATCAAAGGCGATACTCTTTAAACACAAGAAAACTGGTTGCGAGGTGATGTCTGTGTCAAATGAGGATGAGAACAAGGTCTTCGGCGTTGTTTTCAGGACTCCTCCGTAAGTTTAGTTCATAGTAATTTTTTCTTTGTAAAAATTTGACCTGAGTATTTATTAGGTAGGCAATTAGAATTGGTACCTGTGGGTTCACTTCTTGAATTTAACTAATTGAAATGGTCAAGTTTATTACTACTTATCAAAGGTCGCCGTTTTTCAGATTAGTCCTTGTCATTTCGTTTCCTCTTCTTCTTTATTGGTACTTGCAAAGTGGTCTAAGCTTTGGAAATCAATAACTTGTCAAATTGCTTAACGCTTTGTAACAAGTCGATATGAGCAACTGCACTTTCAGTAGATATTGGCCCCCACATGCACCTCCTTGTCAAAGGGACCTTAAGTTAGGGTTTGAAAAACTTATAATGGAAGCAATTTTAAATCATAGTTTCACTGCTAATGCAGGAAGGATTCCACTGGCATTCCGCACATACTGGAACATAGCGTTCTATGTGGGTCAAGAAAGTACCCGCTAAAAGAGCCATTTGTTGAACTACTCAAGGGAAGTTTGCATACTTTTCTAAATGCATTCACATATCCTGATAGGACCTGCTACCCAGTTGCTTCCACCAATACAAAGGTACAATGAGCCAAATATAATGTCCTTCTTTTGTTGTCCTTAGTGAGCTAATCTCTTTCTTTCTGTTACTGTATCTAAATTGAGTCTTTTTCTGATCACATTTCATCACTATCTATGGTAGGATTTTTACAATCTTGTCGATGTATATTTGGATGCTGTCTTCTTCCCCAAGTGTGTGGATGACGTGCACACCTTTCAGCAAGAGGGCTGGCACTATGAGCTTAATGATCCCTCTGAAGACATATCTTACAAAGGTTTTATTTACCTAGGATTCCATTTTAGAGCTCTTTTCCTCTGCTTTTTAGTGTCTTAGTATCGATGATATCTTTTTGTTTATCAGCTACTTCATATACCCACTCATTCTATCTCATCATTGATGTTTGATTTCAGGTGTTGTTTTTAATGAGATGAAAGGTGTCTATTCACAGCCTGATAATATTTTAGGGCGAATTGCTCAACAGGCAAGTTTTGGGTTTTGTTTACTATAACTGAAAGTTTCTTGTTGTTGGTTTAATCGGATGTTGGTTTTTGACCTTATTAATCAACTAAATGATGTAGCCATCTGCAATATAAACCTATCTTTCTTAAAAAAGCCGTTTGGACACTTGGAACAAAAACCTTGTTAGATAATTTGAGACTTATTTCCTCGGTATAATGGTTCTGATGAAATCACCTACTACTGTTTTCACTTTTATTAGGCCTTGTCCCCAGAAAATACATATGGTGTTGACAGTGGAGGTGATCCAAAAGATATCCCTAAGCTGACATTTGAGGAATTCAAGGTTTGTTAAAAGTCTAATTATTATGCTAGTATATTGCTGGTATGTGTAACTTCTGATGCATACTATATATATTTCTTGTTTTGGGACAATTTTAGGAGTTCCACCGTCAGTATTATCACCCAAGCAATGCCAGGATCTGGTTCTATGGAGATGATGATCCCGTTCACCGCCTTCGTGTCTTGAGTGGTAAAGATTGATATCTCCTTTGTCTTACTAGAAATACTCATATTTTTTGAGTTTGTCGTCTATGTCGATTTTGAAATACATCTTATCCCCGTGTTTCTTATATGTGCAGAATACTTGGACATGTTTGAAGTAAGTCCATCTCCCGATAGTTCAAAGATTAAACCTCAAAAGTTATTCTCTGAGCCTGTCAGACTGGTTGAGAAATATCCTGCTGGTCGAGATGGTGACCTTAAAAAGAAGCACATGTTGTGCGTTAACTGGCTATTGTCTGAGAAGCCCTTGGACTTGCAAACTCAACTTGCACTTGGCTTCTTGGATCATCTTATGCTGGGGACTCCTGCTTCACCACTAAGAAAAATCTTATTGGAAAGCGGTTTAGGAGAAGCTCTTGTCAGTAGTGGGTTGTCAGACGAACTCTTGCAGCCCCAGTTCAGTATTGGTTTGAAAGGTGTGTCCGAAGATAATGTTCAAAAGGTTGAAGAGTTGATCATGGATACTCTGAAAAAGTTGGCAGAAGAAGGGTTTGACAATGATGCTGTGGAGGCATCCATGAATACAATTGAGTTTTCTCTGAGGGAAAACAACACAGGATCTTTCCCTCGTGGTTTATCACTTATGCTCCAATCTATTGTAAGTTAATATGCCTTTTGTGCTTACGTGTCTGTCTATTCAGGTATCACTCCTTATTTGATTATTGTTGTTTAGGCAAAATGGATATACGATATGGATCCTTTTGAGCCATTAAAGTATACGGAACCATTGAAGGCCCTGAAAACCAGAATAGCTGAGGAGGGATCCAAGGCCGTCTTTTCCCCACTGATAGAGAAGTTTATCTTGAACAACTCGCATCGTGTTACCATAGAGATGCAGGTGATCTTCTTTTACAAGTTTGTCGTTGCTATGTAATGTTTCTTTACTTTTGTGCTAAACACTACTTTTGCCAGCCTGATCCCGAAAAAGCTACTCAAGAGGAAGTGGAAGAAAAAAATATCCTGGAAAAAGTCAAAGCAGCTATGACAGAAGAAGATCTTGCAGAGCTAGCACGTGCTACAGAGGAGCTAAAATTGAAACAAGAAACCCCTGACCCTCCTGAAGCATTGAGATGTGTCCCAAGTTTGAACTTGGGTGACATTCCAAAAGAACCTACTTATGTTCCCACCGAGGTAATCGTTTTGCTAGCCCTTGCTTTTGTTGTATTTCCTTATTCTCCGAGCTTGCTAATTTTACTGATATGAACTTTTAAACAATAGGTTGGAGATATTAACGGTGTGAAGGTTTTGCGGCATGACCTTTTCACCAATGATATTATCTACGCTGAAGTAGTCTTTGATATTGGTTCCCTGAAACATGAGCTTCTTCCACTAGTACCACTTTTCTGGTATGATTTAAGCTTTCTTATGATTTCCTTATGAGTTTCTTACCAAGTTTTTCCAGAAATGTGCATGGTCGGAATGCTAATTGAAGAATGTTGTTAGATTCTCTGCCATGCAATTTCAAAAGCATGTAAATTTTTTATATATTAGGGAGTACGTTGACAGCTGTAAATAACGAATGTTTTGCTTCATACTATATTGATATATTAACTCTGATAATAATTTTTTTTTGACAGTCAATCATTACTGGAGATGGGCACAAAAGATTTGACTTTTGTTCAACTTAATCAGTTGATTGGAAGGAAAACAGGAGGGATATCAGTCTATCCCCTTACATCATCAGTGAGGGGTAAGGATGAACCATGCAGCAAAATTATCGTACGCGGAAAATCCATGGCTGGGCGTGCTGACGACCTTTTTAACCTGGTACTTTGTCATTTAAAATCCCTTGCTTTAGCTTATCTTATTTTTCTCTAGATTTATGTACGTTGGCTTATGGGATATATAGTGCTGTCTACCTGATCGATCATGTTATCTTCGGTCTCCAAGC